TTTTTTTTTTTAAGTTCACCTTGTGAACTTTGTTATGATTTCTTAGCTGCTGTTGGCTCTGTGTACCAATCCGTGCATAATCTGAATGATGTAGGTGTTACTGGGCTTGTCGATTAATTGATAGCTACATGTTTGATGAAATTACACTCTGCCCATTTGTTTTTTGAGGTAGTGTATGTCCTACTGAGGTCTGTATCAATTGGCCATCAGTAGGTTTGTCTTTTTTCTACTCAGCTCAAGTGGCGGATAGATGGAAATAGCTATATCTTGTTTCAAGAGGTTTGCTTGGTTCAAATTGTGCTTGCAGGTATGCATGATTCGGGAGCATATCTTTTGGTTAAGTTCCGCTTCATTGGAAAATTGATGTTCTTAATTGTATTAGCATAACTCGGTAAATAAATATCTTTAGTGGGTAGTTGTTGCCTTGCAGCTGTAGTTTCATTTCAAAAGTGGTAAATTCTTGCACTCGATAAACTTTACAAAGTCAATCACACATCTGAGCAAGGCCTTACTTACGCAAATATAGAGAAATATCCTAAGCTTGCATCATAAGAGGGAAAAGATGATGTCTGTGGAAGTTTTTCTGATTTGTATTGTTCTGCAGTCAATTCCCTCCATCTCTTTATCATCAGAATGTCCATACCCTTCTGGCTTTGGTGATTTATTGTGTTGGTGTTTTTGGTTCTGCCTCGAGGTCTTTGATGGTGCAGATTATGAAGAAATCTCATAAATTTACCACCTTCTTACACTGCTGATGAGCATGAAGAATGGGTCGGATTACAATTTCATGTAGATAAAAATACCTGTTCGTTCTGGAACTCATGTAGATGCCTGGTCATATGTTTGACAATTACTATGATGAGGGTTACGATGTGGATATTCTTGACCTCAGAATTGGCGTATATAAAGTTGGACTCCCATCCATATTAATGTATACTGTGCGTGGAAAATTTTAAACTATATTGATAAGTTATTCCGACAAACAAAGTGTTCAAATATTAACTTTCTGTAGTTAGTAGATTTAAGCACTTATAACCTATACCCTTGCGTATTCATCGGAGGAGATGGAACGGCATTGAGGTAACCCTACTAATACTGATTGATTTGTTCTTTCATGTGTATCTTGCACTTTATGATTGATTTAGAGTTCGAGCACGACGCATTTTCTGAACATCGGATACCTAATTTGTGTGCAAAAGTTTCAAGTCTTGTACTAAATTCCTATTTATCTTTTCTCTGGACAGTATCCACAGTTTTACCAGTAACGGTCATCCATTGGTGCTTTGATATTCTTAGAATTCTTTATTACTGCCCATTGTAGCTTTTCCCTTGTCACATAGAAGGTCTGATGCGAGCTTCTGCTTTACTGAAGGGATCTAGTCTCTCGATCTGCTAGGGTTTTCTTGAAATTTTGTATCTGTTTATTCTTTTTTTCTCTGTCTTTTGCAGTGCTGTCACTTGTGCATTAACTCAGATATATTCTTGGTGAAATGTTTACTTTGACAATTTAATAGCCTTTTCAGTTTGATTCATGGATGTACGATTTGTTTCTATGTTTGAACAGGTCCTGCATTGCTTGTTGATGTTCCAAGAGACAAAAATATTACAGGTATGAATTAGTACAAAATCTACCATTAACTGAATGTTATATATTTTCAGCATTCCTTAATGTATGCCTGTCTACCAAATATTTATATTTTCAATTAATTCGCTAAATGATATGGGTGCATCACTGCATCTACTGAATTTGAGTTTCAAGTATGTGTTAGATAAGCATTTAGCCTCTAGTTAGTATTTCGTAAATGTAAAACTCCCAAAATATAATATAATCTATATTGTTGTTTGCTAATGACCTATTCCAACATTTGGAACGCAAGTCAAGGCTTCTATTTACATTATACTATCAGGCTTCTGTCCGAAGTCCAAACCTACGATACTATAATAATAATTACATTCTGTTGTCCGTGAGGCAAATAATTCTGAACACAATGCCTATATGAATTCAATATAGTAAAACTTGAGCTTTTGATTGTGCTCTTAAAACTTGCACAATTTGTTTTTGCATTTTAAACAGAAGTTTCAAATTCACACTTAGGTTATTAGTGAAATTGTTGTTAAGTCTTATATATCACAACATGCTGTAAGTTTATTAGTGAAATTGTGGTTAAATCTTATATATCACAACATGTGGTAAGTAGTTTCTTTTATGCTTTAACCTAACATTCTTATAGAATCTACTCATCCTCTCTTTCATCTTCTTTGGGTTTGCAGCCGAAGTAATGGAGTCCTTAAACATTCCCAAAGGAGTAAAAAGAGTACTTTTTAGAACACTTAATACAGACAGGTAAATGTATCAGCAGTAACTCATGGTATAGCTTGGATTTAAATTCATTCTGCATGGGATGTAAGTACTATTACAGCAACCAGGCTACTGTGCTCCTTCAGTGTAAACTTAAAATAGTGGTGAAATTTTAAAATAGTTAGCAGCGGGATATTTGGAATCTATAGATAATGCTTTATTTAAATGCTTTGCTCAAGTGCCTGAAACGGAAACGGAAACGGAATGAGATCTGTAACAATCTATCTACTTCCATGAAAATAAAATTTTTATCGACATACAGTGCAATGACATGAAACTTTGTATAGTAGTGATCTCAAATTTATTTATGAGACTATGGGATATTTGGAATCTATAGATAATGCTTTATTTAAATGCTTTGCTCAAGTGCCTGAAATGGAAACGGAATGAGATCTGTAACAATCTATCTACTTCCATGAAAATAAAGTTTTATCGACAGACAGTGCAATGACATGAAACTTTGTATAGTAGTGATCTCAAATTTATTTATGAGACTAAGATTGAATAATCAACATTCCTTCACTTGCATCAAAAGATGTGTTGACCTAAAATGAACAATGCTTTTATCTTCAAATTAAGCAAAATGTGAGCAGAATATGGCAACATGACACAGCTACTTTCAGTCACTTTTCTGAATAAAATTAACAAGGTTTTGGTTGGATCAGTCTGAGCATGATTCAGTGTAATCCCTGAATGTAGCAAGGTTCTTGCCACTTTGTTTTCTAGGTAGAATAAACCATTGCATCTATGAGTGATTTTCATATTGGGGATATTCCATACAAATTGTTTTCAGGGGCCTTATGTATAAAACTGCATTCGACACAAGTTATGTGGGCTTCATGAAAGATGGGGCACAGTGGCTTGTGGACAACACTGACATCAAACTTGTGGGTAAGGCTGAAACACTTTGTTAATTAAACTGTTTTATAGAAGGGCTTGGGTAGAACTCAGCCCCAAAAGCTAGCTCAAAGGCAGATCACAATAACAGCCCAGTAACTAATTGATATGGGATAAACATAACTTCTAAAACTTGCCCTCACGCTCAGCGTACCAAAACCTAGTACTAATCGTTGTGGGACAAACATAACAGCTAACATGTTAGATAGATGATATTTGTTCTTTCTGTAGAAATGACAAGTTAAAAAAAAACTAGCAATTATTTGAAAATATCATATTTTCTTAAGTGTACTTGAGTTCCACACATTTTTGCAGGAATTGACTACTTGTCTGTTGCTGCTTATGATGATTTAATCCCTTCTCATCTTGTTCTTCTCAAAAGCAAGGCAAGAATATATTTTCTCATAACTCTTAAATCTCTGTAACGCCACTTCTGTTTCTAGAGAAATTGATCACTTTCACTAAAGATAAGTTCTGTTTGCTCAATCTCTGTGACTCTTTTCTTTCTT